TCCAAAAGACTACAACATATGGGCCAATCTCGGTCATCCGTGCTTTTATAAGAACGAAATGGCGCTTTTAGTGACATTTTGCATACAAATCCCCATCTAGTAGGGCGCAGTCACCCAGTTTCGGTGGAAGTGCGCGAGTTCGATTGGGATTAAAGTAGGAAGGGAGCGCCTCAGCTTCCTCGGACCAAGACCATTCGACTCAGCACCCCGAAGACTACAACTGGTGAAATTTTGATTTTTCTTTAATGACACTGAATCTGTCCTCAGCACAAACTGTCAACTCCATCCAGAATACAATCCTACGACTCGTAGAGTACAGAACTATATCTGGTCTTAGGGTGGTAAGTGCAACACAGCTAGGGAAAGAAATCTTTGCACTAACTGAGTCGACAAGAAGTTTCCAGTCTGAGGCCGCTGACAGGAGATCAGTCGTAACCAACTTTCGTCTGGGCTGAACGCGAACTGGCTTCTCCCCCGCCTTGCAAAACGAGATGAAGTCAAGCTCATTTGAATTTTCGGTTTGTACGGTGTTTGCAGCAGCGCGGATTCGAATCTCCTCACGCATGTCCCTGACGATGACCCCGAGAGAAAGAGAGAGAGAGAGAGAGAGAAAGAGAGAGAGAGAGAGAGAGCGAGAGAGAGAGAGAGAGAGAGAGAGGTAGATAGAGAAAGTGAATGAAGGAGAGAGAAGTATTATTCACGCTGTGTAAGTGAAACAGACTGTACGTTGTGAGTGAGTTTTGATTTGCTGTACTCTATCGGTTGTTCCAGGTGTGGAACTTGGACTCTATGACGTGCATGCAGACATTGATCCGCCACCAGGGCAGTGTGTCGTGCTTAGCAACCATGCATGGAAGACTGTACTCGGGTGCAGTGGACTGCTCACTCAAGGTAAGCCATGGCAGAGAATAACAATAAAAAATGAAAAGGACCAAGGAACTACAAGCTACGCTATAATGTCCACTACATCTTTTTAAAACTCGGATACTGAGCCAGTTATAGAATACTGTAAACCGCCCAATATTCGCGTCACTAAATTTTCGCGATTTCTTAGAACCAGCGAGTTTTCGATGGCAAAGGTTCGCGAAGCATTGTGGCCACTAACATACACCCACTGTTGAAGTTAGATTTCATGCTGGTAAATATTCGCGTTACGCTCTTCTCGCGAATATAAGGCATTTTACAGAAATGTAAAAAAGAGAACTGGCAGTTTTGTGCCCTATTATCGCACTTTCTGACTGTTTATCATCCTGTGACTGTAGTGGATAGTTGCTGCATAACTCGTTCTCATGTGGTTCTTCCCTTTTTTAAAGAAAATATTTTATTTCTATAAATTAATCCTTGGCTCTCCATCCGAATAACAATAATACGCCAAGGGTGGCTCTTCACAGTAAGGTGCCCGGGATGTACTAAGCTATCAAATATAGTGCCATTTCGGTAACCGCACCTCTGCTCCCCTGGTCATTTTCATCAAATGAGAGCCACCGTCCCTCACATACACGTGTCTCAGAAAGGACGTGAAGGACGTGTTCTCAAGAACTATCACACATAACATTGGGTTCCTTGCTTTTAAGTATAGAGAACGGACGAATAAGTTGCGAGTTATGACTAACAGCTAACTGACTAACAGCTAACGAGATCTTATACAGTCAGATAGTGCGACAACAAGGCACCAAACTGACAAAGATATTGAGACATTCGACGATTTGTCACCTATCGCCATGCGAGTTTTAAAAACCTTGCTTTTTCTCTTCTTTTTTTTCTGCTGTCAGGTCTGGCAGTGAGGTATGATCAACGGTGTGTGTGATCTACATTTTCCAGAGCAATGTTTGTCACCGTAATCCGGAATTGGTTTAGCTTGTCTTGAACACATCCTGGTCTGGATGACTGCTGCCATCACATTGGAGCATCGGCGTATGTGCGTGTGTTGTATTTTTGGGTAGTAAGGATGAACAAACAGATTCGGGCAAGTTGCGATTATGTATCCAGACTATGGCATGTCTGCGTGGTCTGATTTGGAGGCGAGGGATTCCGTAAGGCTCGTGGTCGACGTTACGAGCAGTGCAACCAATGCCAAGCAGATTTGTTCTGTGATGCGCATGGGTGAACAGTGCGATGCGTGTGTTATTATTGCGGACATTGACGAGGGCGCTTGATATGTACATGGACGTCTAGTTCTAAAGCTTGCTAATGTTCTCTGATGCTGCTAGAATCTTGTTTTCCGACTGCATCTCATCTGTTGTGTGTATCTTGAGAGACCGCTCACGCAGCTGAGCTGCCCTCCCCCTCTCCGCATCCTGCTATCATTTCCCGTTTAGAACCTTTGAAGAAAGGGTTTGGACGACATTGGGGGGAAAATAGAGGATCGCCGCTAATAGGGGATAATTGTTTTTGATGATGTGACGGGAATGACTGTTCATTCGAATTAAGATATTGGCTTCGATTTTCAATTTTCTGGTTATGGATTATTTTTCTTCTGGATGATACATCCAGTAATCGTCTGCTCATTGTACCTTAGATTAGTTTGCCCCGTGCCAAGTCAATGGTGCACTATTTTGCTGCTAAGTCCTCCGCTCGGTGTATCGTGTGCACTGTTTTAGTAGCGCTATCTCAGGGCGAACCACGCCTGTATGTGCTGCCCTTCCCATGCCCATCTCTCTCTCTCTCTCTCTCTCTCTCTCTCTCTCTCTCTCTCTCTCTCTCTCTCTCTCTCTCTCTTTCTCTCTCTCTCTCTCTCTCTCTCTCTCTCTTTCTCTATCTCTCTCTCTCTCTCTCTCTCTCTCTCTCTCTCTCTCTCTCTCTCTCTCTCTCTCTCTCTCTCTCTCTCTCTCTCTCTCTCTCTCTATTTTCTCTCTCTCTTTCCCACTCACCCAACACGCGATTTTTCCTGAAAGCTACCGTTCTGACTTGTTCTCTTGATCTCCACGCGCCCCCATTGCTTGTTGATGTACTTAGATCACTGTTCAATTATCATACATATACATGTACATGTAAGACATACTAGTACTAGAGTATTACCCTACATGGTCTGCCTAATGTAGATTTCTGTTTTCAAATTTCAACCCCCCCTTCTCACGCTTGGCACAATCCACCGTCGTGTTGTCGAGGGGCAAAACCGTTCGGTTACGTACTGCACAATTCCGTTATGCGAGTTGTAACTTGACGTGATTTTCATACTTCACAGTTTTGCCGCTTGGAAACGTTTTCAGGTACTTGTACAAGGTGCCAACGTACATAGCAGGCTAGCATATGTTCGTATCAACTCAAATTTCGTTTCATGCGTGTTTCTAATTATGCACACTGCACTGGCACTGTGCTGTACCCGAGCGTGTGTGAACTATGAACAGGGCTACGGTAGGCCAATTTCATTGGCTGGCGTGTTCCGCCGTCAGCCTAGACTGACTGGGCATGCTCTGAAACTCAGCCAACATCAATCCCTGCGCGGTCCAATTGTCCAATGTTCTTTTTCCTTCAACACTCGTGATGTAGGGCTGTGTTTGACATACAGTAACACCTGGTTTAACTTAAGCGACCACCACACGGTGCAAGCCAAAGCGGTCGTTAAAGCCAGGAGGTCTTTAGAACCAGATCCCGCAGTTTCTGTGTAGAACTTTCCGTGCATGGAAAACGGTCGTTAAGAGCAGGTGGTCGCTAAAACCAGAGGTCGCTTACACCAGGTTTTACTGTAATGGTAGATCACTGGCATCATGCAAAGTAAAGCTTGTGATCGGGAACTGCAGCACACTGTGATCCAAGTCATTCACTCCCTTTCAATAGATATTTTGGAGGCAAATGCAATAAACCTGGTAAGGGTAGGAATCCCAGGAAACACAAGTCGTACACAAAATAATATTATTATCTTAGCCTTCATAGGAGTGTAAAAAATGGGAGTACAAGTAGGAGGATTTGCAGAAGAGAGTGCAGCGATTTATGGACTTTAAAAACGCAGGATAAGTATGACCTAGCGGCCGTGGCTTGAAGTTTATCGAGTATGGAAGCAAGACTACTATTCAACGAGCACATCCAAACCGGCAGGGCATACTCCATGAGGGGTCGGACATCATTAATATTATTCACACATATCCGCCGCATGAGTACGTGTGGCCCATGCACCATGGTGTCCCACGAATACAAACCAACATACATGTATGTTCCCTCAGCAATACAAGCCAGCAAGCAAGCCAAGATAAACAGTTCCAAAATGTCAGCTGGGATGATTATGTCGGAGATTGTCTAAACTTGTGACACTGATAGTGGAAAGTGGAAGGAACTGCGACATATTCCGAAGGAGAAAAACAAAATATAAAAGGCAACAATAATTATGATCAGAAAAATTCAAAGTGGATGAACATAGGACACTGGGATGATGGTAGGTAGGGACACAATCGCTGTTCATGGAAACGGTCCCAGAAGTAGCTGTGGTTGGGGCAAAGATGATAATACATATTGGGGTTAAATACAGCTGAGATGCCCTCAGACCAGGGCAGATAGCTGTCCCGATCAGATTGGAGGGGTGCAGTGTGTATCGATCTGGACGCGTCAGGTACCGAGCAGCAGAGAAGATTGGAATCGTCAGCAAATAGAGTCATTCCACAACAACAGTGTACACTGACGAGGGACTCTATGCTCATGCTAAACAAAAGTGGACTAACATGATTGTGAACCCTGGGAAAACTGTGGCAGATGAGGGAGAAGGCATTGAAACCGTCTCGCCGACATGGACACGCGGGAATCGACCAGATATAAAGTCGCGAACCCAGTCACGAGCAGACGAGCTGCACCAGCCAGAAAGGGAATGCAACATTTCTTCGTGACTAAGTGCAGGGGCAGTGTTACGCACTGCGCTGTACTGAGAGATAACATGGTCAAGCATTCACTTGTTGAACTTCCAGATCATGGAGTATCTCACTGAAGCATGGACGGTTGGGCGCTTCTGGTCTCAAGCAGGCCTCGACCAGATGACGATAGTCATAGGGCATACCAGGTGGAATAGGCAGCTGGTGACCATTCTCTATTGCCTTCTCTACGTCCGACTCACGCTTCAGATGTCCGTATGGCGTTTGCCTGGTGAAGATCTCCCAAAGCACAACGCCATAGCTGTGAGCATGATGACAAGAGAAAAACACCATACAGGCACACAATCAACTACACACCTACATGACAAAATGGCCCGGACTGGGTGCTACGGCCCTGCCTAAGGCAGGGCCGTTGTACCCAGTCCCGGCCATTAGGCCATGGCTGGAGCTGTCTTCGAAAACGTTTACCTGCCCTATTCATGCAAAATGTTCAACAATATTCATTTCAGTTCCAGCTTCCCATTCGACGGGATCAAATGAAATCCCGATGCTACGACCATGTAAACACACCCCTGGGGAAAAAGGAGAAGAATGCAAAGGGAAGAAAATCTGACTTTCATCACCTGGTCTTGTACCTGTACATTTGCTCTCGGTCATCTAATCATGTTCACTGGGAAGGCGTTTACTGACAAAAAATAACATTTGGCAAAATGCATGAAGCTGACGGCAGACTACACGAATAATTGTTGTATCCTAGATCAAGAAAGTGTAGGGTACTAGTCCATGGTGTTTAGAACTACACGATCGTGGGAGGGTTCTGTATGGTGGTAAGTTTTAGGAATAATCTTGGTAATACGTAGGAAGTTGATTGTGAGCACAGGAGTCCAGTAGGCCTTTGCTGATAATGCCGGCAGAAAAACTGGCAGAATTCGGTACTTTTTCTGGTGTCATGCATATTTGGTATGTGGATAAAGAAATGGAGCAGAATTCGAGGAATTGCCCGCCATAAGGGTTGTATGGTTCTGCCAATTTCACTGCTTTTCGAGCAGAATCTGCCACCTTTTCGAGCATTATCCGCCAATGCCTAGAGTGCAAGAGTAGTGAAGCGCAGTGTGATGTAGTAAGGGCGCTGGCCATGGTCATGCCGTCATCGGATTTCAATATTCACGACAGTACAATACCGGTAGTGTACTGCTCCCTGTTTAGAATCAAAACGATAAAAATTCCTTTTGCTGAGAGTAGATGGTATTGCTTGTTTCGGGAGAAAGCAGCTGTGCTGCACAATACACAGTGTGAATGTGATCGTGGTTTCTATGAGTGATTATAAAATTACACCTTTCACCAAATTCACACTCACCTGTAGATATCGGCTTTCTCGTTGTAATGCTCGCCACGTACTGACTCCGGTGATTTCCAGCGCAGAGTCCCCACGCCGCGAGTCATCACTGATGCCGAATAGCGCTGATACGTCTCTCCATGGTTTGTGGAGACGTCGGTGAGTAGAGGCGTTGACAGACTGGTCTCCTGGTTTCCTGATAGTACAAGCGAGTTCTTGGAATCACATCTGTCAAGTACTGATCCGGAACAAGGGAGCTCGATAAGTACATTTTCTCTGGAGCTTTCGCCTACGGACTGTGTGCCATCCGGCGTGTTTGATGACTGCGTCAGGGCAGTTTGAGCGGCACTAGTACTGGCGCTGTTCGCTGCTGTTGCCTTCTCCTCATCCAGAATGGCCATAAATCGCGAGTTGCCAAGATCGCCGATTTTCACCACCCACTTGTCGCTGACTAGAAGGTTGGGAGATTTCAGGTCTCGGTGCAGACGTGGCGGGTTGGATTCGTGCAAGTACGTCATACCTCGGGCTGTGTCCAGGGCAAATCTCAGACGATCGTGGTGTGTGAACACGTTCTCGACATCGTGGAGTACATTGTGGAGAGAACCTCGCCGCAAGTACTCCATCACGATAAACGGTCTTTTGCTGGAATGATTTGTGCCAGCTCCCAAGAAGATGACGATGTTGGGGTGACGAATTGAACGCAGGACCTCAGCTTCCTGGACGAACTGGTCTGTCTGCGAGGGATTTCTACCAGTATATTTAGGGAGTACTTTCACAGCTACTAACATGTCGCTGAACTCGGCTTGCCACACTTGCGAGAATGCTCCCCTGGCCAGTTTCTTGGTGAGGTTCAGCGATGACCAGCGTATTCTTGTTCCGATGTTGATCTGGTCTAGCTTCTTCTGATACAGTCGCATACTCTTGTGTTTGTCCTGCAGCTCTTTCTCCTTGAGCTTGAGTTGCTGGTTTCTCATGTGGTATTTTCGTAGAGCAAGAGCAATGAAGGAGACGAGGAGCAGAATGGCGGATGCAATGGCCAAGCTCACCAGTGGTAGTCTACAGTTGTCATACGACACGTAACCAAAGCTGCAATGGCAGCTGGCGCTGAAGTCGGTCACGATACACACCCCGTGCTGGTGGCAATGCTGGGAACGGCACGGGGATATTGCAACGCAGGCGTTCGATCCTTCTGTCTCTGTTGTTGTGAAATTGGGACACGGTTTGCATCCGCCACGTAGAGTTGAAGAAAAGAAACCATGCGGACAGGGTCGACACGTGTTATCCTCACGCAGCTCGTGCCCCGTCGGACAGAGCTCGGTCTCAATCGTCATATACTTTCCTGAACCTCTGTTGTATATCTCTCCCGAGAATACATAGAGACGCTGCCCTCTCATGATACGGTGATAAAATATTTGGATTGCATTTTCATATTGGAAAAAGGGCACCACCCTGGCCTCCGCTTGTACGTTAGAAGTATTCAGCAGGATAAGCTTTGCAATTGTGGTTTTTTCATCGATTTTGATGTTGTCAGTCCTACCACCAAACAATAGTATGCCATTCTTGTTGTACTGGACACTAGCGAAGTCTTTCATCGCAGGCATACAGGGCCTAACGGAGACTTGGTTGATTCGAATTGTACCGTTGTCTAAGTATCGGGAGATATCCATTGCCATTATGTAGTCAGTACATGCTGATGTGTCACTGAAAACGAAAAGAGTATTATTGATATGTATTGTTTGCGGGTAGGGAAGACTTGGCATTACGGCGCCAAAGAGATTCGTAGGTTTGAGAATTTTCCACGTTCCTTTACACTGCCCTACACTGTCTAATGTGAGTACCCAGATATCAGAGAGATATTCTGATCTGAAATTGTCCAACCCCCCGTAGACCAGAAGATGTCTGTCATCAAGTCGTACTGCCATGTGGTTGTATCGTGCCGACGGTTGAACTGTGGCAGCGTTAGTAAATTCCATACAGGTGAAGTTCAGTATATTAATGCACCACATGATTGAGAGGTATTTGAAAGGAATGCCATAAACGTTCCCCATACCGAACAAGAATACCACACCAGCAGTAAGTTGCGTAGCAGTTGATCCCTTAGCAACACGCATTGGATGTTCTGTACACTGCGCCATTGTCCTAGTCTCATACTCATTCGTTGTCGTGTCAAGGATCCAGTAGACGTTGACACCTATGGGGTGTTGTGAATTTGACCAGACGCACGTCGAGCCGGGCAAGAATATAACTCTCTCCTTTCCCAGTATGGTTTGTAGAACAGCACCATTAATTGTACAGCCCAACTCTCCCGGCAGACTGTAGGCTGGCCTGGAAGCATCGTATATTATCTCCTCCGTGAAATCATTACACGCGCATTCTGTGTTCTTAGCCAAGCTGGGGCAAGTGGACAAGGGTGCTTCAGGCCGTATGGTCCACTCCCGCTCTGCCGTCCCAAAGAAAGCACCGACTCCGCCACCAACTGAGTGATAAGCATCGCTAAAATACTTTCCAGAATGTCTCCAGGTATATGTCAACTTGGATTGATGGGTGAGCATTCGTCGACAGGATATTGTGCTAGATGGAAAATTAATCTTATGGGTCAGTCGCACACTGCACACCTCAAGCACACGCAGAGCGTCCCGATCAGAAAAGTGCAGGAGAATCTTTGATTCGTTCGCAAACAAGACTGCGCGTGGCCTGTTCTTGAGCGCCAATATGTCTGTTGTGACAGAGACTGGAAACAACTTTCCGCCATGTCCGGAAATGCGACATATGCTTGTGGCGTTTTTGTGACGAGACATCCAGGATCGCTTTTTGACATTGAATACCCAGAACGTGCAGTAGCTATCCACATCTGGTGGTTTGTTCGTTCTGGTATTGTCCACATTATACGCTGGCACTCCACCGTACACAATAATGGTGTGGTTGACTGCAAGTAAGGATGGGAAAAGAAGACGACGAGGGCCAAAGTTCGACTCAACCGGTTCTAGCTTTCGCCATTGAGTTCCTTCTATATGATCTCCCGTCTTACTTAGAATGTGCATGTATCGCAGGCTGGAGGAAATCCTGCAATATTTGTCCAGTTTTGATATCTCTATAAATGTCGGTAGATCTTTAGTGCACACAAGGCCACCGTAAGAAAACACTCGATACGTATTTGCGTGCTCTTCGTCATCTCTCAAGGTCACAATTGACTGAAGATATATTGTACTGCCCGCACTCACCATTGGTGTGTTCACTCTTCGCAGTTGCATATCTCTCCACACGAACATCATGTCGCATTCTGGCCAGGGTCCGAAGTCGTAAATGATCAGATCTCTTCTGTTAGGTGATGTGGCAAGAGCGGGCGCAAAATACGACTTACGTTGACACAGCGCGCCAAGGTCCGGGTATGTCAACTCCGCCAGGTGCCTCCATGATCTCACACCAGGATAAGACACGTCCATTGCAACAAGGGTGTCTCTGCGTTCATCATATGAGCCGTTTTTCCGTCGAAACACCAGCATCACAATATGCTCAGCCACACGGTAGCGAGTGGACTGTAGAAGAAGAGTGCTAGCTGGCGTGGAGCGGACAAAGGCATTTTCCATCATTCGATCGTAAACCAGTCTTGGATACTGGTAAACCTTGTGTAATTCAAGTTGTGCTGGTAGCCGGCTAAGGCTGGCATCTGCCCATGTTTCATGGACGGCTGTAGCAACACCAGTTACCAGAAGAACTAAAACCACGACACACACAGTTCTCTGCGCGGAGGAACGCATGATCAAAATGTCAAGAGGGGTGACTTTCTGAGCGTTTTCTACTTTAGAGGCTTCCTTATACCCAGAGAAACTTCCTATCAAAGTTGTTGGTGTTTCTCAACCCAATTGCACAACCAGTTGTAACGCGAACGTGCGAATGTTATTTTTTACTTTTATACCCAATCTGTTAGCAAGAAGTTGCATAGGAAAGGGAGAAAATCCTACGAGTCACTGCATAGAAGACACAGCGGCTGATCTCAACTAGGGCCAGCGATACTTCCACACAGCGTCATCAAAACCCGTCTTGTGTATTCAAGCAACGCGTACGTACATGACATTATCGTCTTCGCACCACGGAAAACTATAGCTCAATTAAAATTACATCGCGCGTCTGGTTTGATTGTTTTTCTTCCTGACGTACTGTCAGCAGGCAACCACTTTGTGAGAGCAGTGCAGATGCACATGAAATTGTATACGTTGCACCGCCCACAGGAATCAAATGACTTCAGGAAAAGAGTTAAAAAACGTGCAACTCGCCTTTCCGCCAGAGCCGCAGCAACATTACAATTATTATCGATGACGTCAATTGCATTGCTATCCTCATGCCCAGACAACGGTCACACTTGGCTTCACCACAGTTCTAGTATTAGACCGGAAAACTATAGCTCAATTAAAATTACATCGCGCGTCTGGTTTGATTGTTTTTCTTCCTGACGTACTGTCAGCAGGCAACCACTTTGTGAGAGCAGTGCAGATGCACATGAAATTGTATACGTTGCATAAGACCGCCCAAAGGAATCAAATTACTTCAGGAAAAGAGTTCAAAAAACGTGCAACTCGCCTTTCCGCCAGGGGCACAGCAACGTTATAATTATTATGAATGACGTCAATTTCATTACTACTGTACCCTCATGCCCCAGGCAACGGTCACACCTGGTTTCACCACAGAGGCAGAGTGAGTCCACCTGGACATCTGTACGTGTAGAGAACAAACCGAGAAGGCATGGAACCATCGCAGACTATCCCCTTGTGGATGATGCGTGCAGTAAAATAATAAATTGGCAAAATTATTTGTTCCTGTTTCTGGTATGTGTCATGATACCTCTGCATTGCATAGAGGCAGTATGATTAGGTTCTGCGAAAGTGCTCAATACCTGATTCAGGCAGAGCGGTGTACACAACGGCACACAATGAAAACCATCAATACCTGATTCAGGCAGAGCGGTGTACACAAAGGCACACAATGAAAACCTTCAATACCTGATTCAGGCAGAGCGGTGTACACGAAGGCACACAATGAAAACCTTCAATGCCAGATTCAGGCATAGCGGTGTGCACGAAGGCACACAATGAAAACCTTCAATACCTGATTCCGGCAGAGCGGTGTACACGAAGGCACACTATGAAAACCTTCAATGCCTGATTCAGGCAGAGCGGCGTACACGAAGGCACACTATGAAAACTAGTGTTGAAACGAATAATCAAATAATCGAATAATTTAGAATATTCGTGGGGTGAACGAATAATCGAATAGTCGTAGGAATTATCAGAAATCGAAAAAAAAAGAAAAAAAAAGTCTATGCTCAGTGCTGACCCTGCTGATATTTGCACGGCGTAGATCTGCTCGTAGTATTTCTTCTCAATTTCCTCTCCTCCAAGTTTTAATCTCCTATCGGTATCTAGTAATACTTTTTCTGTTCTTTCCATACCAGGGAAACATGGATGCAGTGAATGTGATTTTCGGTCTTTGACCACTTTCGACCAAGACCCTATGCAGAGCTGGATCAGGCGTTGCACACTCTGGGGGGTTATGTACTCTTGGCGGTACGAGTATAGGTTTTGCACCTCCACATAACAAAATCCGATATTAATCAGCAAAATTTTTTTTTTAAACTACTTAAAAAGTGCTGAAAAAGTGTTGAAAAATGCCATCATGCGTATGATAGAATATAGATTATTCGTTCGATGGAGGGCGAAATTATTCGATAGATTATTCGTTCGAAGAATCCGTGTTCGGTTTAAACACTAATGAAAACCTTCAATGCCTGATTCAGGCAGAGCGGTGTACACGAAGGCACACTATGAAAACCTTCAATGCCTGATTCAGGCAGAGCGGTGTACATGAAGGAACCCAATGTACACCTTGGCGAAGTCCGTTGTTACAACGGAATTGGCCAAGGTTTTCATTGTGTGCCTTTCTGTCTGCATGGTATAGTAATCTGCTGGGACATGCACATGTACATGTATCCAGTAGTGATGCCATGGATCATACATGTACATGTACGGTGGGCGAAGCTTGCTGTACTAGCAACGTTCTGGCCCACAGGCACTTCCACCATCTCACTTTCCCTTGGAGTTGACAGCTGCTTCCCTCCTTCCCACCCGGCGAATATTTCTATTTCAAAAGTATGCTGGCTTTGTGGAAAAGAGAGAGGAAAATCGTAAACCGTGATAACTAGTGTTGAGATTGCTCATGCTTTTGTAGCTCGAAGATAGAGACAGCCGGAAACGTTCGGGGTGCTCAGGAAATACATATGTTTGAATTATTTCAGCAATTTTACTAGCCAAGCAAAGCCAGATTTAAACCAGGCCCGAACGTACCTTGCCAGAGTGCTCAAACTGACATGTCAATAAGCTCTGCATACCGCAAAATTTAATAGCAAAGGCACTGCCCCATATGAGAGGCCTCAGCTACTACAAGAGAAGGAGCGAAATACGATATTGATATTGATATCAGCTCTAGTCAAATTGCTGAAATTCATACATAATTCTCTGAACACCTAGAACGTCCTCAGCTGTCTCTATCTTCGAGCTCCAAGAGAGTGAACAATCGCAACACTAGTTATCACGGTGTACGTTTTTTCCACTCTAGTTGTCCACAAGCCCAGCGTGCTATTGAAATTAAAATACTTGCCGGTTGGGAAGGAGGGAAGCAGCTGTCACCTCCAAGGGAAAGTGAGATGGTGGAAGTGCCTGTGGGCCACAAGGTTGCTAGTACAGCAAGCTTCGCCCACCGTACATGTACATGTATGATCCATGGCATCACTACTGGATACATGTACATGTACATGTGTCCAGCATATTACTGTACAAAGTAGAGCGAATATCACGATCAGTCACCACGACTATGCAAAGGTCGTTGACGCTGCAAATTTTGTATACTGGTGGTGACTGATCGTGATATGAATTGGCTGCAGTAGAGCCTCCGTGTGCTTTTAGCAGTGCACAGAACTGAAGATGGCTGGACTCGGAACGAAGATTAGGCAAGTAATATTCGGCCATGGATCCCTGCCTCTAGGTGTTTCTTCGTCCATGTACAGTTGTCCAGGTGGCCTCACTCTGCCTTATATAAAAAACCTTACTTTTTCTTTACTTTTTTTCACGTACGGATGTCCAGATGAACTCACTCTGCCTTATAACCCGTGGCTAATTACTGAGGTTTAATACTAGTACTGTGGTGAAGCAAAGTGTGACCATTGCCTAGGGCATGAGGGTAGCAATGAAATTGACATCATCCATAATAATTATCACGTTGATGTGCCCCTGGCGGAAGGGCGAGCTGCACGTTTTTGTCCTGGAGTAATTTGATTCCCGAGGGCGGTCTATTACAGTAATTATATACAATCTCTCAGACAACTAAAACTGGATGAACAGCCAGGATCCGATTATAATTATGCAGTTGTGTTACAGAGGCATCGATGTGTGTAAGCAAGAGGGAGGAATTTCATACATGGATTCAGCGGGTCTAGCAAGAGTGATTTAGGACATTCCTTTGTACTTGCCAAGCAGGAACGTCTGAGCATGGCGACACTTCGACGCAATCTCTGTGCACTTGTTGAGGGAGATTCTGGGGTCTGATGCAAAGATATGGTACTTCTTGGCAATGCAGAGGTTGCAGCGTTTTGCGACGTTGGAGTAGGCATTAGCACGCTCCTTGACAGCCCAGGAAATCTCATAAGGTCTATCCTGGCTCCACGCATGCCTAGCCAGGTGAGTGCTGCTATCATAGCGCTCATGGTGCATACAATCTCTCCAAAAAGTGGTTGCCCCCTGACAGCAAGTCATCAGGAAGAACAACAAAGGTTGAAACCAGACGGGCTATGTTACTTTAAAGATATCATTTTCCGTGATGCGAAGACGATACACACGTACATATGCATGTACATACGCGTTGTTTGAATACACAATGGAGATTTAGATGACGCTGTGTGTACGTATCGCTGGCCCTAGTTGTGAGCAGTCGTTGTGTCTTGTTTGTAATACCTCATATCGATACAACGGTCATTGCAGAGTAGAAGACAGCGTGCACAATGCAAGCTGTTCAGGATTTTCTCCCTTTTCCTGTGCACTGTACTTGCTAACAGATTGGGTATAAAAGTAAAAAAAGAAGTTCGCACGTCCGCGTAACAACTGGTTGTACAATTGTGTTGAGAAACACAAACGACTTTAATAGGAAGTTTCTCTGGGTATAAGGAGGCCATAATTGTAGTAACAGGCGCAGAAAGGCTAGCTTGGACGTGTCACCCTTCTTGAAATTATGGCCTTCATAGGAGTGTAAAAATTGAGAGTACAAATTGAGAGTACAAGTAGGAGGATTTGCAGAAGAGAGTGCAGCGATTTATGGACTTTAAAAACGCAGGACAAGTATGACCTAGCGGCCGCGGCTTGAAGGTTATCGAGTATGGAAGCAAGACTACTATTCAACGAGTACATCCAAACCGGCACGGAATTCTCCAGGAGAGGTCGGACATTACTATTATTTTTCACACATATCCGCCGGATGAGTACGTGTGGCCCATGCAAAATGGTGACCCACGAATACAAACCAGCATGCATGTATGTTCCCTCAGCAATACAAGCCAGCAAGTAAGCAAAGATAAATGAGAACCCAGGCAGCGAAAACTAAGGAAGAGAGATGAGAACATGGGCAAGGAAAACAATTCCAAAGTGTCACCTGGGATTGTATGCCGGACATAACACTTGGACAAACTTGTGACACTGATAGTGGAAAGTGGGAGGAACTGCGACATATTCCGAAGGAGAAAAACACGAGAACGAAATATAAAAGGCAACAATATGATCAGAAAAATTCAAAGTGGATGAACATAGGACACTGAGATGATGGTAGGTA